GTCAAACATAGTTAGTTCAGAAGAAAAATATTTGCATGTATGTATATATGGTACACCTGGGAGACAGTTGACTCCCAATGTCTCATTCTCTCCCTTTTTTAAAAACACTGTTTTTTGTTTTGTTTTGTTTTTGCTTAGCACATTGCCAACCAAATAAAGACTACATATCCCAACTTCTCTTGCAGTCAGAAGTGACATAAATTTATTTCCCAGCATCTAGAAATGTTAGAGGAGATATTTGCAGGAGGGAGACTCCTCATAAGGGAAGGTGTGAGCTCTACTGACTTTCCTAGGCTTCCTTCTGCTAAAGGCCTGGAACATAGATATGATGGCGGAGCTCTAGCAGTCATTTTAGACCTTTAACTATCTTGTAGATGCAAGTCAGTTCTAGAATAGTGGAAGAGGAAATGAGGAGCTTGGATCCTTAAGGACACCCTGGGACTACCATACTGACCCTGAACTGCCAACTTTTAGATTTTTTTCTATCTAAAAGTTAATGGATGAATGAATGAACTTCCTAGTTGCTTAAGTTATATTTGCTTTGTTTTATTCTGTTATGTGCATTCAGACTTAACTTTACACCTTGGAGGTGGAGGTAAGAGTGATTTAAACCTCCTGGGTCCCCAGTTTATAGGATGTGGGAGTCTGAAGTCCTCCACGCTTGTGCACTTGTTTCTGCCTTCCTTCTTAACTCTGCCCTCCTTTGATCATGAACGTCAGGCCCTCATTGGTGTCCACAAAAGTCCATTCAGGATCTGGGCACACTACCATATCTCCCGCACGTAGCCAGCAAACTGACCCCCGCACCCCCCATCAAACCATCAAACCGTCCTGTTAGCACTGGTCTTTTTGCCAACTGCCTCGTAGCACTTCTCTCATGGCTCTTTAGGCAGGAAGAACCCAGTGTCTCCCCCGTTTCTGCTTCCCCTTCTCTCTCTCCTTCCTCTACTTCTCATGTCCAAATTCGTCTGCCTGACTCATGAAAAGCTATTTGCACAGCTCCTTTCCCCAACCATCAGTACCCAGCAGACAAAGGAACTTCTACTTCAGAGACTTCACCCTCTTTAGAAGGTGGTTGTAGTTACAAATGACATAATTTTTCTGAGGTATGTTTCTGGAAAATTGAATAAAAGTGTCCTAAGACTTTTATTCTTAGTAGGTGTAAATGTACTCCCCCAAATCTCGAGCATCTCAAAATGCAGAAATGAGTGGGTATGGAACGGGTAGGGGTTGGGGAAGGAGACTTGGCTGCTCTGGTTACTTTGCAAGCTTTGGCATCTACTGCAGCGATAATAAGGCATGCAGGACCACTGGTTTATTTTCTGGTGCATGGTTCTTCCTTTGTAAGTAACCAGTGTACTTCTTAGGAGATGGGTTCCCAGGTTTTTACCAGTAACAGTACCCATGCTTGATGTCTTTTTTGAGCCTGTTCAGTAAGACCTCACCTTCCAAGCATGAAAATCACTTCCACCTATTGAAAACCTATGATGTCATTTCTCTGGAGTTTTCTGGATTCTAACCTTGTATGCATGTGACTTCATTACTAAAACAAATCCATTTAAGTGTTCTGAGATAATATATTATGTGAAACATTAAAACCCAATGTCACTTGAGAAAGATAATATTAATTCATTGTTAGCTTTGACATTTTTAATTTCTTTTAAATTGACACATAGTAATTGTACACATTTATGGGGTACAGTGTGACATTTCTATACATATATACAATTTATAATGATGAGGTCAGAATAATTAGTGTGAATATCCCCTTGGACATTTCTCACTGTTGGTTTTAAATTTATCTAGCATTTAACTTAGTTTTTTTTTCCACACATGATGTCTCTTTAATTTTCACAATTTTTCTATAATATTACATTATATACCCCATTTTATAGTTAAATCAACTGGTATTCAGAAACCGAGAGTAGCTAGCCCTAGGCACACAGCGACTGTGGTAGAATCATGATGACAATGTATGCCGTCCTCTCCTAACCTTGGAATTCTTTCTTGTCGTGGACTAACTTACCATTTCCTTAGCAGAGGAAGGCTAGCCTAGAGCTGGCATCCTTGAGCGGAGAGGAGCATGTCCATGAAGGGCCTGGGTTTGCCAGGTTGGAATGGATTAGTGCAGAAGACAATCCTAAGAAGCCTCCAGAAGCAAGGAGAAGACAGAAGGAACTTAGGCATTAGAAAAAGGAGCAAGCCAAGACTCAGGGCACCTCTGTGACAGTGCCAGCTTTTACTGTCACCAGGTCTTTTTCTTTTCTTAATTTTTTTTTTCTGATTAAGGAACTTGCTGTGAATGAGATGGTAGAGGCCAATGCAGGTCAAGAAGTAATCAGGAAGTGGATTCGGACTAAACAAGCCAAAACCGCAGGTGAACATTTAGGGACCATAAATCCTCAGCCTCCCACTGCAGAGAGAAAGGCTGCAGTCAGAATCTGAGCTCTGTGCGTGAAGTAACAAAGTGCTTCCAGGAAGAAATCTCATCCTCCAGAAAAGATTTTGAGAAAATCAAAATTGGAGCGGCTGACAGCAAGATTCCTCTGGGGACTCTTACAGGGTCCGGCTGGTGGTTACAAAGCACAGGTGGGTGCAGGGCTTTTCAGCAGGCTGTTCAGAGATCCTAAGTTACTTCTATTCATTATTCAATTTACAAAGGCTGCCCTGTCCAGCAGATGACATCAGCCAGCATGAGCACACCTGTGCAAATGGAAGGACCCCACTGTGGTGACAGAGATGAGAGACCAAGATTCCATGTGCACATGCCTTGGTCTGGTTCTCAGTATCAGCTGGCAAAGTCACATCCCAACATCTCTAAGGAAGCCCTGCCCAATAAGAATCACACTCCAGGCATGAAAAAGCACTTCCATTTATTGAAAACCTACTATGTGTCAGGTGTTACCAAGACACACCATTGGGAAATAGATCATCTTATCTCCCTTTCCAACTGGGAAATCTCACTGCTGGGAGCAGTAAGGGACTGGTTCAATGTTGTACAGCTAAACCAGTGACATTCACTTGGCCAATCCAAAATCTGAGCATGACAGATTTTGTCAGGGCTCACCATCCTTGGAATAGTTGTAGGTGGGACTGATTGGCTCACATACACATGAAAAAGGGCACAAAATTGGTGAACAGCCTGCAGCAAGAAAATCCCCACACTTCAAGATTTCCCAGACCTGTACAGCTATACAACTAGACCAGGAGATACTCTGGAGGCCCAGAGCCTGTGCCAGATGCTCTTTTAGAAGCCCTTGGAAGATGCCTCACCAATCTCTGGCAGGACAAAGTAGACCATGCATTCCTAGAATTACACAGGGCACAGAGAAGATGTTTGGTAACTGCTGTCTCCTTAATGACAATACCATTTCTCCACGTAGTATTGCTTGATCTGCAATCACCATGAGTGCCTTCAAATTCTCTAGAAGCCTGGCCTGGGGCACAGGTTCATCACACTCCCACTGAGAAAATAGCCAGAGCTTCCATTTACTAAACACTTCTTCCCAGGCAGGCTGCTTTCTAAGTTGGATATATCATCTACCTGAGTCCTTCCAGCAACCCTATGAAGCAGGTATTTTATTTTACATAGGGACGTATCATATTCTATATAGGGATATTATTATCCTTATAAAAGAGGAAACAGAAGGAAGACAGTTTATGTCACTGGTCTAATACGTGACTTGGAAATAAACAGGAGGTATGAGATGGCCTTCTGTCTTATTCACATGGCCCTTCTGTCTTATTCACTCTATTGTCCAGTCTTCCCAGGAAGCCTCTGGAAATTCTCCAAACTCCACTCCTGTGATGGTTGCCTTAAGCAGCAGCATCTTAGCCTCAGAGGAAGTCACAGTTTGTGGGAGACCAAGAACATTCAGATATCCATAGCATTCATTGGCCCAACCTATGCTGGGGGCATAATGAGAGAAACACCCCAATGTGTGCCATCTGTGCTACAGACTTGGGAATTTTAGCCTCATTGACATCTGTAAGACCAATGCCTTCCCAAGAAATCTTCAAGCCATAAAAATTGGTACTTCTAATACCCTGGAAAGGATACAATTCTAGAACTTTATCTGCTATTTAAAATGCTATTCTTTTTTTTTAAATGCTACCAATTTAATTAGCATTCATAGTATTTCAAATCTGTATTAAGTTTTCCTTCAACCCTAAGCAGGGAGAAAAAGAATTGCATGATTTCTCACACTTATATAGACTGTAATACTTTGACCTTGTCCTCCAATCTTATGTGAAAATGGCATATGACTGCTGTATCCTATTTTAGAACAAAGTATTCAGATTATATGTCTTTTCTTTATCTCTGATCTTTCAAAGATTTTTTTTTCTCCCTGAAAAAACAGTATTCAGTTCTCACCTTCAAAGCAGAAAATCAGGCTCTTAAAAATGAACAAATATCCACAGGTGGGAAATGTAAATGCACTTTGAAATTCTGGAGAAAAAGATGCATCCAGCACAATAAATATGAGTTGATGAATTCTGACACTTTTTTTCCTCACTCAATTTTAAATCCAGTCCTGCTGACTGGCTGCCCATCATTTTCTGCACACCAGATGAAAGACCTTGAGAAAATTTGATCCTTCAAGGAATAATCTTCAACTTCTTTAGAGGACAGTGACTACTTGATCAGAATATCCTTTAAAAACAAAAGAAGGAGCCCAGCCTCACCACATAAAGCCATTTAAAGCACAGCTAAGCTTCGGATATAACAAATTATAATTTCCACACTCTGTGGGCACTGCCGATCATAAATTGCTGAAGAGTTGTATGTTTGTTGTGTAGCATTTTTCATCTTCATGATTGGTTTTACTTTTGTTTTGTTTTGCAAGAATGAAAGGGGAAGGGCCTCCCAGCCAACTCAACAGAAGGACTCTGACAGGCTCAAGGCTCCTGTGGTTTAAGGTCACCCACTGCAGCTAGGGAGTACGGAAGTGCTGTTGCCTATACTGTGCAACTTCGGTTTTCCCTTTTCCTGCTGCATTCAGCTAAGAGGAACTGCAAACCAAGGACTCCTTTCAACTCTCCCCAGCCCCAGGTCCACGTGGCTTTCTCAGCCTCTTGAAATAGCAAGTTGGGGACCTGTGAGTGTTTGTGCATGCTTTTTGTTTGCATTACACTCTGAAAAGTGTGTATGTGTATGTTGGGAGAGCAAAGTAGAGAGAACAAGAGGAGGAGAGAAAGACTGATTCTGCAGACTGAGCTTCAGCATCCACTAATCAGCAGCCTCTGCAGCCAAGTGGTCACTCAGAGTGCACAGCTTGGAGATGAACTCCCCCTGGAAAGCCCTCCTAGCAGCTCCGCTGCTCCTTCTCCTGTCCCTTCACTCCTGGGCCTCTGCAGTGTCCTATATTGACCAGCACAGCACCAGTCACTCCAATGGCCACACCTGTGTAGGTATGTAAATACTTTTTATATTTTTTATGTGAACAAATCAATGGTTTATAATGCTTTTCTTGCAAAGGTCTTTCTTGTTTAATGACATAATACATGTGAGATTCAAAATAAGACACTGAAAACCTCACAGACATAGACAAATATTGAGTCTAAGGATAAGCATTCACACTATATGCCTCTATGTGCAAAGAAGTGTGATAATATAGTTGCTGATTTGAATTAGTCATTAAAGTCTTCTGCTTTGTTTGTGATTGGATTTTTTTTCTCTTGGTTACACAACTGTAATAGCCTGACATTCTTACTCTTTTTCATGCGCATTGACCTAAGACATCTGAGTTAGTTTTTCTGCCCACCTTCTCTTCTCCTTGCCTATTCCTTAATGACTGTGAAATCTTGAGTAAGTTACTTAACCCTCCCCATGCCTCTGTGTCTTTATCATTGAAACAGAGATAATAATACCTATATCATGGGGATTTGGGAATACTGTGAGATTTGAAATGTTCATGTAAAATTTTTATATTTGTACACATTAAAGACTCAACTATCTTAGCTTCCTTCAGTCTCTCAGGGAATCCAGACTTGGTGGTCAAATGAACACTTCAAATGAGATTAGCATCTGACTTTTTGATTCATTTTACTGAAGGTTTTATTTCCTAGTTTTTTTTAGAAAAAAAATTTGTTTTGATTTGGGATTTTTGGTTTATTTTGTAAGAGAGTTGGAGGTAGGGTCAGACTTTTGATATATATATTTTACCTGGGGCCTCCATAACAATGGTGGAAGTTTAGATGAAACAGTACATGGAGCCACCAAAGGTTCAGAACTGAGTAGTAGTTATTCAGTAAGCTAATATTAAAATAGAATCCTGAGACTGAGGATAGAGCTCAGTTGGTAGAGTAATTGCTTCACGTTCACAAGGACTTGGGTTCAATCCCCAGTACCACCACCAAAAAAAAAAAAAAAAAAAATATATATATATATATATATATATAAATATATAAAAATAATATAAAAAAAATTTTGGCTTGAAAATTCAGAAAAAGAAGTCTGGGCATAAGTATGGTGGCCTTACTCTTGCTACAGATGGAAAATAGGGATGCAGATTCTGACACTCATGAATTCCCTCTGGAAACTGTATAGGAAAATAGCTGAATTAATCCTGCTTTTCCAAAACTCAAGATCTCTGATAATTATAGTTGTTAGGGAACACCTCTACTTCTAAAATCTTTAAATTAAAACCCAAAGATCCAAAATCCCTGGGAATCTATTTTCCAGAAACCTAGAAGCAGACGTCTAAGGCCTCTTGGAACCACGCCTGGGAGATCATCCTCCCTCAGGATTTCTTCTTCTTAAGTCGTTATTTACTAACATTCTATTTGCTCTAAGTCAAACCTTAAAGCCTATCAAATGGAAATATTCTTGAAAAAGGCTCAAGTAAAATCAGTTCTACATCCAGGCTGGTTGCTAATTCAATCTTTGGATTTAGTCTAGTTATCTACCTGAGCTCCTCTGGTCTCCATCTTGGCAAAATGGACATGAAATACTTATTCCTTCCCCTGCTTCATTCCTAATGAGGCCACAGAGAGTTGGCAGGAGGTGTTGAGGGCATTCCAGGATGGGTTGTTTTGCTCTTCTTCTGGTGCCTAACAAATTAAAATAATAACCATTTTGTTTATGTTTTTGTGAGGAATTTGTTCGGAGTCTGGCTGGTGATTCTTATGCTCCATGCATGGGTGACCAAGGTGACTAGGTGGAATTCATATGGCAGATCCATGGGTTTGGGACTCCACAAAACAGCTTCATTTATATTTTGGCACCTTGGGGATGGGATATGGCTAGAAGGTTGGTTCATTGGGGAATGGACATCAGAGTGCCTACCCATGGCAGTGCCAGTGTAGCTCAAGGATCCCAGAGAAAGCATTGCAAAGGACAGGAACTAGAAGCCACCAGTCTCTCAAGGTTTGGATCTAGAAACTGGCATGTCTGCCATTCCATTTCTCCCACAACTCACAATTTCAGGCTAATTCTGCTTGGGTGACTTACTTTGGTGACTTTGGGTGATAAAGGTGGGTTGAGAGAAGTCCATTCAAGTGGTTAACATTTACTGAGTACTGACTATGCACTAAGCCAGGTTCTAAAAATAGTCCAAACTGGTGTCTCAGTGATTGAAGTTGGTTCCATGGGGAACTTCACTCAAATTTGTGTTCAGGGGAACTTTTCAAGGACTGTTCTTGGATGGAGAAGAAAGAGAGAGAGGCCTGACACACACCATAAAGTTCACTATTTTAAAGTTTAAAAATAAAGTAGTTTTTAGCATATTCATGTGTTGTGCATTGATTATCAAGATCTAATTCCAGAACATTTCATTGCCCCAAAACAATGCCAGTTATTACTTTCTCCACGTATCACTCAAATAAATCCTAACCAGACTTTCTAAGACATATGAAAACTCCATATTAAACATTTTGAGGAGCTGACAAATTATTTTCTAGAGTAGTGGTACCAATTTACATTTTCCCAGCTATCTATGAATGTAGTAATTTCTTCATATTCATGATTAACCATCTTTTTTTGCTTAGAGCTATGCTAGTGGCTAGTGGAATAGGACCTCATTGTGATTTTGCTTTGTGCTTCCCAGATGATAATGATATTGAACATCTTTTCATATGCTTACAGGCAACTTGCATATTTTCTCTGAAGAAATGTCGACTTTTGTCCATTTTTTAATTGGGTTGTCTTTTTGTTATTGAATTGTGAGGTTCTTTATATATTCCAGGTATAAGTCCTTTATCAAGTATACAACTTGTAAATATTTCCTTCCGTTCTGTGAATTAACTCCTCTTTCATGATAAGAGCCTTTCAAGAACAAACTTTTATAATTTTGATGATGTCCTATTTAGTTTTTTCTTCTCTTGTGCTTTTGATGTTATATCTAAGAATCATTTGTTTGTTTGTCTGTGGTGCTGGGGATTGAACCCAGGGCCTTGTGCATGTGAGGCAAGCATTCTACCAACTGAGCTATATCCCCAGCCCATAAGACTCATTTTTTAAATGGTGGTTGCTATTATTTTTTCCTCTTACATCCATTTTTTTAATCTTATTTCCCAGACATTGAATCCCTAACCACCATTTTGGCAAACAGGAGTGTAATACCTAGGCTTGCAAATAAGAAGAATCAAATGGGGTTTGGAAATGAAGCTCCATAGTAGAGTGTGTGTTTAGCATGCATGAGACCCTGGATTCCATCCCCATCACATAAAACATAAAAATAAACAAATAAAAGGAGAAAACTTTTTTACTGAGAATGTGAGAAAGAAAGTTTGAAGTCAAAAATAGTTAGACCTAAATATCAAGCCAGGAGCCAAAAAATGATGACTACCAAGAATCCAGGGAGTTCTTACTCCCAGACTATCAGCACTGGCTCCTCTCTGTCCTGCAGATGAGCTGTTTTTATTACTATCCACACTTTCATGCCAATTCATTCCCACAGTTCTGAGTTTGCATGTGATGGCACAGCCCTCACAGAGCCGGCCCACCTTCTCTTGTCAATTCTAACTTCCCAGCAGAGAGAATCTGGGAGAAGTGTTCATATCACTGAATAAGAGGTAGATGGGAGTGAGAAGAGCTCAAGGGACATATATGGCTCCTCAAAATGGGTTGAGAGGGTGTGACTGAAGAGATTCTCTAAAAGAACCACCACAAAAGTTACCAGGATATTGAGTCAACATCCCATGACAAATAACCAATCCCAGCTCCAGTCCCAGAGAAGATTTGCAGTGGGGAACCAACCAGCAAACCTGAGGACATGGTCTTGAATATATGCCAACATCAGAACTAAGCTTTGGAAATCCCAGTTCCCCAGTCTCCTCTTTTTATAAGCAACAAACTAGTCATCCCATTTGGTCACTAAACAAGTGCTGATTCAACAGTGCTTGGGCGGGTTTTGCCTTTCTGCCATTTTTCAAATGTCATGGAATCAATAAGGCAAGTTCACTTTTGTAAAGCATTATTTTCTTTACATGGATGATTTATGGGAAGTTAATCCTTATGGTTTCTCGGTCATTGGCATTTAAATTAATCCATCCAGTTTGGGATATTTTAAAATGCTTGGGAATTTTTTTAAAGGGTTAAAAACACATCCCCCCACCCCCGATTCCTTTTATGTTAAATATATAAAATGTCTTTACAGTCAGGTTATACCTCTCTCCAGCCACGTATCCCACACAGAGTAGTCAGAAATGACTCTAGGGCTTGAGTGATAAAGAGAAAAAGGTGGTCTATAGTTTCAAGCACATGCAAGTGAAAAAAGACAGTGTCTCTGCTAAAAATAGGAAAGATTTAAACAGACCCAGCACAGAAGGGTGCAAATTTATGATCACAATTTAGATAGAAATTTCGCTTTCTCTATTTTCTGTAAGTGAACACTTGTTCATAAGACACTGTTTCTGTGATAGTAGAAAACATTTCATCTTGCCATTTATGTGTTTAAGTGTATTTTCCTCTGGATAACTCAGGTTCTCTTCCTCCCCTCCTCTGAGGGTGGACCTCTCTCCTGAGACAGAGCAGAGCATCACCCTGACATTCACAGTTCTTGGTCTTTGGGGAGGGCTCTGTCCCCACCCCCTCAGCTCCTACAGTCATATATGAGGCATTATGGCTGCTGGACTCCTCTCAGTAGAGAAATCTGGATAGTCTCCTCCAACAGTGTTGACCGGTCCACTCACCTCCACCCTCTATGGCCTTATAGGTAGATCCTCGAGGTCCAGACAGATCACCTGATTGCCTGTCTGCAACCTCTACACTTGCCCTTCACTTTGACAGTTTCCTTACACACTCTCTTCTCTACAATCTTCTATGTTTACTTTTAAATTATCCTTGAATTTAACTCCAACCTTAGCACAAGTGGTACTTTCCCGATCATCTGAAGTTATCACACTCCATCTGCTTGGGTTTTTTTTCCTTGATTGTCTTGGGGCCAAACCCTGAAAAGAAAGACCACAAA